AACAATTTTTATGAGCTTGAGGCCGTTTTTAGTGAAAATTTATTGTGGGAAAGCAACATTAATTTGAAAAATAGAGAAAAAATCATTCATTTTAGACTATTACTGAAACCAAGATGTATTAAACAAGGTGTGATGGACAACTCAGTGCGGCTCTCTTTTAAGGCAATATATAATGTCAAAAAATATAAACAAACGATTCAAAATTCCTAATTTTTTTTTTTTTCAATTTGAATTTTTTAAGATGGTTCCTCTGAGAGCAATGTCAAATTCAATACACTTTGTTAAACACATTTTGATTGAGACCCCTTTTATGATAAAAGTTTTCTTAGTGAAGTATTTTAAATTCATTAAAATACTGTAAACTCCAAGTTTAATAAATCTATTAAAAAAGTTCTTTGCTGTTTTCACGATTTTTCCCTCTTAACCTGAGTAATTTCACTGCTAATATTAGTAGAAATAATCCACTTCAATTATCCGATGTTACAGATACATACTTGTATACGTATGTATGTATATGACATTCCATTCCCATGCTGTTATCTTAAAAACGTAAAACTTTTTTTGTCAGTGTACATTTGTATGTATGTATATGTATAACACCAATCTGCTTGAAGTTTTCAGGAAAGCTTTTTAAGCAAAAGCTTCGTTAATAAGCTTTATATGTCAGACAGCAAACGAAGTAGAAGCAAAAAGAGAACTGCCCAAACAGCTCAGCTGACGATGTAAACAACTGTAAACTATAATCGACTGTCAACAAATTTAGTAGCGCACAAGTTCAGCCACTAGCAATAGCAATAAAGTGAGAAAACAAAGCCAAAGAAATAGAAGTAAGTGTTATCTGTTGAAATAAATACAAACCAATTACAATAGGTGATGTAACTTACTGCTAAGCTAAAGATCACAATCCCCTTTATCTGCTCTTTCACAAATGATTAGTGCAATTGCAGCGCTTGCTAGCGGTTAGAAAAATGTCTTCGACAGTGAATTTATCAGGTAAGTACATAGTAAATGCTTCTAACTACCCAATACTTCTGTGCGCTCATTGATTTTTCATTAAAATGTACAGCATTGCGTCTCAAATATTGTGAAAAGAAAGAAGTTTTCCTTGAAAATAATATAAAAGTGAAGGAGCCTATTACGCTATTCCGTGAATGGCTGGAAGAAGCGCTGAAAACGGAGGAACTGCTGGAACCGAATGCCGCTTGCTTGGCAACAGTAAATAGGTACTTTGCTTATATCAACTTTCATGTAAACTTATTTATGTACTTCATTCGCTCTTACTTGCAGAGATGGTAAACCTTCAAATCGTTTTGTGTTGCTCAAAGACGTCACTGACGATGGTTTCCGCTTCTTCACTAACTATGGCAGTCATAAGGCACAAGACATTGCTTGCAATCCCAATGTAGCTATGACACTTTATTGGCTACCATTGCGTCGTCAGATACGAATTGAAGGCGTGGCCGAGCAGATACCCAAAGCAGATTCTTTAGCATATTTTCATCAGCGGCCACGTGCGTCACAAATAGGTGCACTGGCTAGCGAACAAAGTACACGTATACCTTCACGTCAGCATTTAGATAAAATTGAGCGGGAGATCAAAGATAAATTGGGCCCAAATGGTGAGGTACCTCTACCCAACTGGGGTGGCTATTTGATAAGACCGCATACCATAGAATTTTGGCAGGGACAAACCGATCGCCTACATGATCGCATACAATTTCGTCGTGGGCCCGGAGTGGAAAAGGTATTTATGCAAAACTTTTTACATACTTACATATTCAGTAATCTCAGTCCAAAATGAAGTTAATGAAGCCATAGAAAAGTGAATGCCTGATTTTTAAATTGTGCTTAGATCCGAGATATCGTACGTTTAATAATGGAGAGAATTAGTTAATAATCTACGTTTTTGGAGATTTTATCGTGCAATTAATGAGCGTATCTATATGCATTTCCGCATCAAATATAAAATTTTGACCAGGGTAGCCAACTTATTTTTGATTATTTCCTGATTTCGACAATGAAATTCCCCGATTTAGCCCGAAATTTCGCCAAATTCCACACCCATAGTTATCTCCTTATTTACAAAAAAAAAAAAATATGTATTTTGATGTATCGCTGCGCTTTCTGTTTATTTTGTTTTTAAGTGTAATTCATTTAGTTATTTATAAAGCTAACCAAACTTTTATAAAATTTAACAAAAAATAATAAAAATGTACATATAATATTTACGCACAAACAGTGGTCGGAAAAAATTTAGTCGCACCAAATTTTGACAATTTTTGAGATTTTTATTTTTTTTACGTAATTTGAATTATTTTTTATAAGAATAGAGTTCATTCTTTAACAAAAAGCGGTCAAATCCAAGTTTCAAACTTTGGGCAATATTAAAAAAAAAATCAACAAACTTTCGTAAAAATTTTGAGTTTTTTAATTCCATATTCTAGAAAAAGTTTTATAGCCCACTCAATTCTAGTACAAAAGAGTGCAAGTTTTAAGTGCCTAAAAATTTTCATTTTAGAACTTTTTTGCCGAAGATGTTGCGGTTTTCTTCCATATAAAATAATGTGTGTTTATTCGTTATTAAAAAAAAATCTAAACGAACAACGGAAATTTTTAGCTATTTGTAACTTTATTATACTAGAATTGAACGTGCCACACAACTGCGTATGGCTAATTCCACTGTGACGAGTGTGAGATCTCCACTTATTTATTCTTTTTTTTATCATTGTAAAATTAAGGATGCAAAAAAGAAAAACAAATTACACTTAAATCCTCACAACAAACAGTTCATTTCCCCACTTCCGCATGTAAACTGAAATTCCCCACAAAAAACGGTCCTTTCCCCGATTCCCCACGCTATCTGAAATCCCCCGCAAATCGAGGAATTCCACACGAGTTGGCTTACCTGCGCTAGACATAATTAAAGTTCCAAAAATGAAGAGGAAATGTGTTTTCCAATTTTGTTTTTCTGTACCAACTATATACATACATATATGATTTGATCAAATTTTGGTTGCGTTTTCCCACAAAATCAAAATTTTGAATTAGTTGAGGACTTTTGAAACCTTAAAAAATTACTCTTCATAAATGTTACCTAAAAGACAGGGGTTTTATTATTGAAAAATTGCGAAAAAGCAAGAGATTCCTATTCTCTTAGGTTGGCTCAACACTGTGGCATACAGTCCTCTATGTAAAAAACACATGACCTAGAATTTTCCACAGTATTAGGCCTCGATTGTCATTCAGTGCAAGATAATTAGTACTATTCCCATTAATCAAGGTCAATATAAAGCCTCGGTTGGCTGTAAAGCTAGCTGTTATGCGTGGCAAGTGCAAGTAGTTCCCGAAAGACTGTCAGACTCCAAAAGCGATTGCAGGAGTAGTTACACCTTACATGTAAAGTGACTTTAGAAAACATTTTTTAATTTCTGAAAATCGAACTTTCTGATACCACTTGTTGCCTATTTCAACAGTGCATGAAAAAAATTTCACTTCCTGGCACTTTTATGCTTATAAAGAAATAAATAACCTTAAAAATTTTTCCAAAAATGCACAAAAATAGTCGCAAAATAAATAATGCATTACATTTAAATACTTCATAACAGGAGAATAAATTAAACACAAATATTTTCGATATTTTCTTCAACATATTTGTAACTATACATAACTCTTGTTTCCGGAAAATTCATTTAAGGTTGTATCACTCACTACTGAAATACGAAATTTTGACAATCGCACGCTATTTACAGCTGATGAAACAACACAATCTTATATGAATTTACTTTGAAAAAAGCCGTTATATTGCCACATTTTAACCGCACCTTAAATCAAAACTGCAATGAAATGATAAAGCGACAGAAGAACGCGTAGTCCATCTGACACCAATTTTCTAGACCGGGTAGGTATTTATAAATGAATTCATTCTGGATTTTAACTTAAATTTCATCCATTAATTCAGATAATGAATTACGAAACAGTCATACAATCATAAATATAGATCACCCCCTGTAAAAGAAGAAAACGGCATAAATTTTAAAATGCCCTAATTTTATCTAATTCAGTAGCAAGCGGACACATTCTTGGGAACGAACAATTTTTGGTTTTCTTTTTTTTCATACAAAATGCTCTCCCATTCACGTACTTTTCGATAGATGGACACGGACACTCAAACATGTCCAGTTGTGAAAAAAAACTCCCATAAGCGGACGCAAAGCTCTAACAAGCTGTCAATTTTGTCTTGTTTTCAGTCAAATGTTGACTCTTGCGCTTGTACATATCGCACACCTAGATTTAAAGTGCGATCAACTTAAACAAAATTTTGGGCGATTGTTTTTGCATAAATGAATTCATAGGACTCACATCCAATTAATGAAAATATTTGTTTCTTCTTGATTATATACATAAACTAGAAAACTACTGTTATATCTGTTTTTGTATTAATTGTGTTCAATCTGTACGATCTACAAGCAGTTAAATTTCCATGCGATGTCATGTCATGTCATGTCATATGCTATCACATCATGTCATGTACTATCATATCATGTCATGCCATATGATGTCATATCATGTCATGTGATGTTATTTATGTGATGTCATATTGTGTGATACAATGCCATATGATGTGATTTCAGAATCAGGGATGTCATTTAATGTGATATCATGTCATGTCTCGTAATGTGATTTGATATCAATTTCTGATGAATATTTAAGCGCCACTTAAGTTTAACTTTGAATTGTTATTTAAATGCCATTTAGCTTTCGTTGGGGTTCGGTTAACCGTTTTTAAATATGCCAAACAAGCGGCTACGCTGCTGCTTGTTCCTTGAATTTGTTATTGCAATTTTTTGTTTGTTTACATTTTGTGCTAAACAGCTGATTGTTGTTTGGCAATATTAACAAAACCATATATATAATACTCCTATATTGGCAGTAAGAGCTAGTACCGTCCGAAAACACTACAGTACAGATATATCAATAAACACGTACGAAAGAAAAGGAACACATACGATTACAAATAAACATGTACACAACACATATACAAAAACGGCACTCATGTACACAATACATTGACAAAAACGATACTAGACTGTCTCGCTTTGATTTCGGAATGCTTACACATTGCGATGTTAGCTTACTGCCAATATAGAAGTATTACATATATGAACAAAACAATCTTTCTATCAATCTTGGTTGTTTGGTACAAACACAGGGTTGCATATCTCATATTAAAATAGCCAATACTGGCCGTTTAACTGCAGATTAAATGTATGATTTGAAAATAAATTTTTTAAGTCAATCAACAATCTCTGCCATCTGAAAATGGCCAAAAGATTAAGGTCAACATTAAAATTAAGATTAATATTAATAAAAAAATTTTTATTGAGCTTGAGGCGGGCTGTATTTGAAAAAAATTATTGTGGAAAAAACAACAATAGTTTGTTACTTGTGTTTTTAGTTGTGTTTTTGTTTATAGATAGACTCGACTTTACTACGCTTTAAAATTATTTGCTACTATTTGTTAGATACTCTTTTTTTCGTCTATATGAACGAACACTATTGATGACTTGAAGTATATTCTATCGTTACAGGAGGTCGACGAAAAACTAGTGCATAGAGGTGAAAACGGTTGGGTCTATGAGCGATTGGCTCCCTAGATGAAGTCCCCTGCATACGTCTACGGCAGTGCTGCCAGAATATTTTGAGGCTTATAGCTTAATTCTTCGAAAAAAAATAGCTGAAATTGGTAAAAAATTTGTTTCATCACCAAAAACAAAAAAATAGCTAAAAAATATTTTTCTTAAAAAATAGCTAAATAAGGGTTTATTCAAAAAGGAGTAACTTAAAATAATATCATACTTGTATGTAGATATGTCTCTAATAATTAGATATTATAACCCAAATGAAAATGATTATTTTATTACAAATGTACCTAAATATTTACACACATTGAATTGGCATAGTAAAATTGTAACTATTGTAAATATTAAAAAAAAAAAAGTTGTTAACAAAATTAGGCATTTGATGACACTGTGCGACTAAAAAGTACTTTAAAATTTTATTTTTAAAATTACTTTGAAATTTTAAAAATATAAAAAAATTATAAAAAAACATATTTTTGTTTTTGTCGCGTGGTGTAATCGTTGTAAATTTTATACAGTTTGATAAGCATATAGCACAGTATACTGTAAAATAAAGAATCAGTTCAAAATTATAAAATTCTATGTAAAAATGGAGAAATAAAAAAAAAATGAATCTACAATAGCTAACTCGATTTAAAAAAAGAGCTAAAAACTAAATGCAAATTTCTGTAGCTAAACGTTGAAAATAATAACTAAATCTAGATAAAAAATAGTTAAATTGGCAACACTGGTATACAGCCTATTGATAAAACTTGGAAGAGGTGGTGGGTAATGAAAGATATTTTTAGTGACAATAATTTAACACGCCTTTTCAGGGGAATTGGATGTAACTATTAAATAATCGCTCTTTCTTAGATAAGATTTATATTTTCTTGTTTATTTTTTAAGACAAAAAACAAGCTTGTTAAAATAGAGAAACTTTTAAAATATTAAAGAACTGTGAATATTTACACAAAATCTTGCTTGAGTTGATTTTTTATTAAGCCCAACGATAACACCCAAAAACCAACTAAATTCAAACTGGCGAACACAGTGGTTCAAAACTGCAATTTACTTCTCATAATTCACTGGGCCATCATTTTTCAATTAATTTCATGATTTTTTATTTTTTTTGTTTTCATGAAAGCTTTCAAATTTTTCAAGAGACCAATTGAATCCGATTTTTGAATTTTTATTGACTATATTAAATTTTTCGGTGCAAAGTGCAAAAAAGGAGCAATTTTGAAAAAAATAGATTTGACAGGTCCAGTTAATAAACGATACATAATAAAACTAGTTGAAAACAATTGTAGAGTTCCTTCAAAAAAAAAAAGAGTATTGACAATACATGTTATAAAAAAAAACTTTCACGAGAATTTCAATTTTTTTTTTAGTTTTCAGAAAATTATGGGTATACAATTTAATAGGTGTTTTGATTTTAAAGAGCAAGTTAAAAGTGTCGAAAAGTTCGCGTGGATTTTTAATATTTTTTTTTTTGCTAAAATTTCGAGCACCTCTGCATGCTTAATGGGAAGTCAAAGCATTATCTTTGTCTCGTGTAGTTTATATTCTTATCAATATCTCACAAAGTTTTTTCTAGAACGCCCTATTTCAGAATTTTATTGAAGAATGCCCTATTTTGGAATTTTATTTAAAAACACCCTATCTTAAAATTTGGTTCCAAAACGCCTTATCTCAAACGAAATTACATTGAGAATGTGGTGAGATAGCGCGCTTTTGAATTGAATTCTGAGATAGGGCAGTTTCCAATCAAATTCTAAAATAGTGCGTTCTTCAACCAAATTCTGAAATAGGGCATTGTTGAAAAATTTTCTGACATACGGCGTTTTCGAAATGGCTGCCGAGATAGGTCCATCTTCCACTCAGCCATCGATATGTAGATTGTTTCTGAAGTTATAATTTTGCGCTAAAATTTCAAACTTTGTTAATGTATATGGATTCCAAAACCAACAAAAAAGACACACAGTCCAATGAGCCGGGTGTGAAAGCAAAATATTAACGGCAATTTAAAAATTTTTTGTGGAAAAAAACTAGCAAAATTATTTTTTGTCGCGGATTCAGCTGCAATAATTATGGTCTACTTACATATAGCATGCAGATTTACTCAAAATTTAAAGGCAACGCAAACACTTAGCCACTTGCAACGTGCTTTTTATTATACTAAAATTTAATGATCTATAAAACTGAATACCCAAAATTTTTATAAAAACTAAAAAACAAAAAAAGTACTTTTAGTGAAAATTTTTTTACATTTCAAATATTTTTTTTTTCATTTTGGGCGAACCCTCCAATTGTTTTCAACTAGGTTTTATTATGTAAAATTTTTTCAAAATTACCACTTTTACTGCACTTTGCACTAAAAAATTTAATAGGAGAATGTAAAAAATCAAAAATCGGGCTTAACTAATCTCTTGTAAATTTTATAAGCTTTCAATAATAAAAATTGGTTGAAAAATTAAGGCTCCAGTGTATTATGAACATTAAATTCCTTTTATTAACCACTGTGCATCGCCCCTCTGCAGACAATAAGTTTGTTCCATACGAGCCCGCGGCATCCTGCGGGTGCCCAAACAGCCCAGAAAGCGTTCTTCACGCTAAAAAAATGGGTAATAGAGAGCGAATACGTTTCATCTTTGGATCGTAAATGTCTTCTCCTTCGTGCCGGAGACAGCCTGTTTTTCCATAAAAGCTATTGTGGAAATGGAAAATGCCACAGAAGTTTCAGAAAATGTAGTTATTTGCAAATTTTATTAGCCATATAAAATAAATACACATAAGATCATTGTTTATAGCTGATTTGCTGATTCCGGACACGAAATGTGTTTTTTTTTGCGTTTCTCACGCTCTGGGCACTTTTGGCACGTGTTGACAGCGGCTTTGAAATCGAAAAATAGATAAAAAACTGCTTGTTTTTAAAAGCAAAATGGAATGAATATTTTCAAGACTTGTGCATACATATGCATATGTATTTATATATCGACTCCTCCAAACCATATTATGCTAAGTCTGATTAAGTTTAAGGTGACCTTAGCATGGTATCGTTTGGAGGCATCGGTATGTGCATGCGCCCTTAAAGGTATGTTTCATTGCACCACAGACATACATACATGAGAATATTTGTATTCTCCACATAATAGGTACACCAGCCGAGCAACTCGGTCACTGATGACGCAAACCGGTAATACAGATTTTAATGCGATTTAACTGGCATTGAAGCTGGCCAGACAAACATAGTTTTGCACTTAACTTGCCTGCCACACTGCATTAAAATGCAAATGTTGTTATTAACAGCAGCAACAAAGGCAATAACAATTGGACGATAATTCCCCATGAAACGTTGACCACAAACTTTAAGGGACAAAATATGCGTGTTGCAAGGATAGCATAGCACAAACATAATACAATTTATTTAGCTTCAGCAACACCACAGGCAATCGCAATGTATTTACGAGAACATTTTTGAAGAGCTTTTAGCAAAAATTACAAATGAAAAACTGAATTATGCAGCTGTTAGATAATAATAGGAAGAAAGGTATAAATACCAGAGCAACCTATATAAATAAAATATAAAATGTTTTACATAAACACATAACTCATATTATTCATTATTTCCTAAATTTAAAGTAATGTGAACGATAATAAAGGGTAATGTCCTCTGCGCTGATATAAATTTACTTATGCACTTCACATACATATGTATGCACATATGTATGTGAAAAAGCAATGAGCACGAACGCTAAAGCAATAATACATATATCAATGCATAGGCGTTTGGTGACACAATTCCTTTGGTAAACAAAAGAACCAAGGAGCATGAATATTAGTTAGTCCCAAAAACGTTTAAAAGTCAAAAAAAGCCACAAACAAAAATTCAGCCCAACCCATTATGTAAATATGCTCGAATTGAGGCTAAAATAACGCCACAGCGAAAATGCAAATTACGCAAGCAAACAAATTAGAAATAAAAGAAATTTTAAGAGCATAACATTACAACCGCAAAAAGGCAAAAGGAGGCGTTAAGCCAAAATGTCTTCAAAATTAGCGTAGTTGCCAAAAAAATGTTCCTTTTAGGAGTTTCATGCTCACATGCATTAATACATGTAGGTATGTACACATATGTATGCGTATTAGGGCGGAGTAATTTTTTCGAAGAAAAATTTTCGAGGAAATTGTATAGCAAATTCAAATTTTATGATTAATTCTTAGAAAAAGTAGCGAACAAAATAAATACCAAAAATAACGTTTGACTCTCCCAATTTTCAAAAGAAGAAACAGTATATCGTAACTTTTCTGGCCGAAATTTATTTTTCATTGTACTAAAAAATTATATATGTAATAGAGGGCTGCATGAATTCATTCCAACTTCTAGCCAAACAGAGTACAGTAGATTTGAATATTTTACTTCACATACAAAACACTCAGCGTTTGGAATTTTGTAAATTAAGAATATACATTTTGTTTTATATTTTCGACATTCAAATGGAAGAATGTGAATTAGTGAATAGAAAACAACCAAATCATCCAAACTCATTTCGGTAAAAGTCTTTTTCTACAAACAAGTTTTTTCGTATATAATTGGAGCGCAGCAATACATACATACATACATATGTATGTTTGTACATATGTGCATAGAAAAAATAATTTTGGATATTCATACAAACAATTGTCATTTAATTCAATTCTATTTATTTTCACATTGTTTGAATGTTGTAATGTCGACACAAATCTCAGAACAGCTATTCACTCAAATTCAAAAAAATTTGAAGCCAAAATCATTCATTCGTTTTGTATATGAATAATTCATAAGCCGTTTTGAATGCATTCATGCAGCCCTCTAATATGTAAGTATGTACACAATTTCCTATTTTTCGGTTTGGTGAATTAGTTTCCTACGTATGAAAAAACATAAAATTTTGTAAATGAAAAATTAATTTCCTTCAGAAAAAGTTATAATACACTGATTTTTCTTTTAAAAAGACTATTTTCTTTCTAAACTATAATTGATGGAAATTTTCAATATTCGCAACCACGGTTAAATGCCGAATTGGAACTTAGTTGAACAAGTAAGGCATTTCGAATAACAATGAAAGTTTAGAAATAAAAGAGACTGATGCATTTCTGAACCCAGCCACAGTTTGTTCTCCATTTTTGCTTAGAATTGGAATATGCCATACACTTTTTTCGATATTAAACTACTCCACCCTAATCTATATACAGTGACTCACACAAATTACCACGTGCTGAGTTTTTTTAGATATTCGTATTTTGCACTTTTTTCAATATAATCAAGAATTTCTTCTGTTGACTTTTGAAATTTTTTCTTTCATACAAAGTTATTATGTTCGACAAGTGGTTTTGTATGGAAGAAAATAATAAAAACGTCGATAGAAAAACCCAAAAATCAATGCGAACTCTTAGGGTACGTTCACACAGAGAGCAAAGCCGAGCCAAGCGAAGCCGTTCCGAGCGGAGTGAAGTTTTCAGATTGCTGTAGCTATATGAAAGTATTCATAAAGCAAGCTTTTTCAGAAGCTTTTTGGAGTTGAAAGCAAAGCAGTTTTTGATTTTGAATTTTCTATTTAAATTTTCAACTTTTTTTTTTGGGGGGGGGGGGCTCGGGTTCTTATTCTCCACAACTTCCCGTGCTGCTACCATTTCGTAGGGCGGAAAAGTGTTCCCTCTATAATTTAAGTACGCTCTGGACATCAGTTACTAGGTCGCCATTATTGTTCTTACAGGAGTGCGCCTCGGTCTTGAAACCTTCAGTAAGTCGCCTAGCTCTCTGGTAAAATTTTCGAGCATTCTTCCTGTCGGCCCGCATTTCAAGCTCTTCGCACTCACGTATTACAATACAATAGTTACAATAAATATACATAAATGAAGATACTGGAATCATTACAATGTACAGCACTCGGCTGGATCTTGGAC